TATATATATATATATATATATATATATATATATATATGTATATAATATACTTTCTTTACTCTGGTACTCTCTGTGATCACTTGTCAACATAACGCTCTTACTCTTTTCTATTCTACTTAATAGTACTATCACTATCGCTATCACTAGACATGGAACGTGACGAATATAAAGTATAAAGTGAGATTACTACTTCAAATCTTTTAGTGCTAAAATTTCTTCTGACAATATTCCGGATATTGAATAAATTTTTATAGACAAAGATGAAATTTTCTTACGTTAAAAATTTTATCACAATTTTTTGGTTTTATTTTAAAAATAAATTGTTACTAAAAAATATTTTTAAAAAATTGCGCTTGTAGTTTTTTTTTATTTTTTAAGGATTGAAATTTTCTTTATAATTAAAGTTCTCATTATAATAATGATTATTTTATTGACAAAAATATAATCTTAAAGGTTCTTAAATGTCTGTTAGATTCAATATCATGAAATTTAACTAATTTTTAGTATTCAATTATAATTAATTAGTGAATAAAAGTTGAGGCGAAAATAAAATGGTTTATGAGCTTAGTAATTATAATCACAAAAGAATGGACGAGTTATTTGTCGAGTTTGATGGTCCCGAGTGAATTTTTAGATGACAGCAAAAAAAAATGTTTTTTTTTGTAATTAAATAAGATCACAAGAATTTTATTACTAATGTTATTTAATTATATTATTTTTATTCATTTATTTATTTTGGTATTGTTATAAATATTAATTTATTTTTAGGTAATTAATTAAAAAATCACTAAAAAAAATTACCAAATGTGAGAGAAAATATTTGAATTTTATTCTTAAATTTTATGAGATTGACATTTTTGGAAATAAGACCTAAAAAAATATTATTAAAATTTTATAATATAAACAATAATGTTTTTTAAAGTTATTATTACATTGATGTTGTTATTATAAGTTAAATTGCAGTAAAAGAAATAAAATATCTTAAATAATTATAGAATAAAAATAGACAGAGCTATTTTTTAGAGAACTATCAAACGCATTGTTATTCCAGATGATTAAAGTCGGAAGTGTTGTTTATATTGATTCTGAAATCAGTAAAAATACTATCAATTTTTATCTTATATAGTTTTATATCTATAATTGCAAAAATTAGTCACTTTTAATTAATAAAAATTATTGATAAAATTTTTTGGCCGTTTTTTGTTTAATAAAATAAATTAACTTTTGAAATAAGTTTAATAAAAAAGCAAAATGCATATTATTATTCATCAAAGCATTGTATCATTTTAAATTAATAAATTTTCTATCAAGATTTTTATAGTAAAATAAAATTCGTGTAAGTTAACTCTATTGAATATTTAATGAATAAATCTAGCCAGCGGTACAAAGCTCTTAATCAGTTTTGCGAAAGGTTTAAATTTCACAGGATCACAGGGTCTAGTCAATTATTTTGCTGTACTATTTAGTAGTTGTAATTGAGTATGAAACAATTAAATTCTTCGTAAAACCCCGTACCTACCATTAGGGATTAGATTTAGAAAGAGCTTAGCGATGGGTTGTACTCAGCTGTGGATGCAGGTTTAACAATATTGAAGCTCAAATAGAGCTCCAGAGATTTAAATTTTCGCTCATAAGTGCGCTGATAAAAAAATTAACTTTATCCAAGAGATAAATGCTCGAGTCAAGTAAATTTACTTGTACTAAGACTTTTTAGTTTAAGATTGATTTTTCTGTCCACGTTAAGACGATCTAATTCTTTAAAATAATATTTTTAGACTGAAAAAAAAAAAAAATTAAGTTGAATCAATAAAAGTCTAAAAATGCATTTTAATATTCAGACTAATTATTTAGATTGTCAATGTCATTGAATAAAAATAATTGCTCTGGACTTTAGCTGTCAATGAAAAAGTCCAATGAATCTTGATAAAATTTGACAATGTCATTTCTATCTCTGCGGGTGATCCCAGTTGCAAAATATCGAACGATTTGTTTCCATTTTTTTTCAATTAAAAGTCATCATTATTTTTTTTATTTATTATTTATTATGATTATTATTTCTTTATTATTAACTATAACATTAATATTAATTAACTATAATTAAATAAATGTTAATAATGAATATATTAAAAAAAAAAAAAAATAAAGTGGGTGGACATCAATGACCCATAATCCAATTGCCCAGACCTAGTATTGGACACAATTCTTTTACCCAGAATTCGTTTACCCAGATTTCTATGATACAGTGCATCTTTTACCCAGAGTTCCAATGATACAGAATTTCTATTACACAGGCATCCGATAACACATAATATCTTTTACTCAATAATTCATTTACACAGGTTTCTTTTGCCCAAACTCTTCAATTTGATCTCAGAAGTTCTTGCAATAAATAGCGCAGGCACAACTAATTATAATTTGAAAACATTTTTTTTTATTTCAACAATTAACAAATCCGAGCCGCCTTATTTTTCTGTAACATTTGTTCAACTCCTGGATCATTCCATATCAAATCGATCGATTGTTGGAATCAACCCCTTTTCGATTCGGACAAATTTTGGTCTGAAGTTTTCTTTTATCATGTAACAAAATTCTGCCAAAAGAAAAAAAATAAAAAAAAATTGGGCAATCGGATTATGGGTCAATGATGTCCACCCAATAAAGTGTGCTTATAAAAAAAAAAAAGGATTCTACATTTCCAACTGCAATACTCACTAAAATTTAATTTACCGTTTACCGCAAATGCGGCATGTAAGATATCGATTGTAGGAATTGTAAGAATCGTGACTCATTTTATTACCAGCTCAAAATTATTGTCTTATATATATATATATCATACCATGTGTTAGAGTAATAACATCAACATCTGCCAAAATATAACTCAAATGAAACTCTGTTTATTTTTCTACATAATTCATTGAATTATGTGATAATAGTTCGTTCTAAAATACTTAATTAACAAAACAAAAATATCGGCGCATCGGTAAGTTAAAACCTAAATAACATTTTAATAATATAATTGTATTAATGCCATTAACTTTATTTCTTAAAACTTAAAATATCGTCTAATAATTTTGGTGATTTTTTTAATGAACAAAAAAAAATCCAAAATTAATATAAAAATCAAAATTACAGAAATGGATTCCAAAAAGCTGTGTCCTTTCAAGGAAAAATGTTACCGCAAAAATCCAATTCACTTTGAAGAAATGTCTCACCCACACTGTGAGTATTAACCTTTCTTCCTATTTAATATCAATTTACCCCCACGAAGAACTGCTGGATGATGGCGAGGAGACTCTTTTTTCAGGCTGGTTTGGAGGATTGTTGGGAGTTTTACGGCGCAGAGTCACTTGGAGGACTTTCAGCTGCTCCAGAAGCTCCGATCGGTCTGGGCAGTCGAATTCTAGGCTCCCTGGGAGAGTTATGGGGCCTGTTGTTTGGCCGTTCAGTAATTTTTCCACTGAAAAAAGGTTATTTGATTTTTAATGAAGTTTGGAAGAGTTAAATGATTAATACCCCCACAGAAAAAGTATGTATTCTGGAATATATTCCAGAATATATACTTTTTCTGTGGGGGTATTAATCATTTAACTCTTCCAAACTTCATTAAAAATCAAATAACCTTTTTTCAGTGGAAAAATTACTGAACGGCCAAACAACAGGCCCCATAACTCTCCCAGGGAGCCTAGAATTCGACTGCCCAGACCGATCGGAGCTTCTGGAGCAGCTGAAAGTCCTCCAAGTGACTCTGCGCCGTAAAACTCCCAACAATCCTCCAAACCAGCCTGAAAAAAGAGTCTCCTCGCCATCATCCAGCAGTTCTTCATCCAAAAAGCCCAAAGACAGCCCAAAGAAAGCCGAGTCGATCTTCGAGAGCTTCAACAACGCGATGGACAGTTCCCGGCTGGAAGTACGCAACAACGCAATCAAGAAAATGCAGGCCGCTGGGCAGCAACTCCCACACCTAGAACCTCCAGGTCAATTTGGTATGAAGTACGCTTTGTCTGCGCCTTACCACGTGTTCCTATCTTGCGTGCAAAAGGTCCCGGAGACCTGGAGCCAGTCGTTCAGCGTGACCTTCCCGGAGCTGCTGGACATCAGCTTGGGAGTGATAGAAGAAAGCCTTCACTTCAACTTCATGGTGGACGTAAGCTGGCTCTGTCTTCAGTACCTCTTCGCAGGGCAGAAAGCAGATAGCTTAATTTTCCTGGGATCTCGGTGCGATGACTTTCCACTGCCTTCCAACATCAAAACCATCAAAATTGAGACCCCAACTGCTTTTGGGACCCACCATAGCAAGGTTTCCGTCTTGAAGTACGCCAACGGGGCGAGGATCATCATTTCTACCGCCAATTTGTACAACGACGACTGGGACAACAGGACTCAGATGGTTTGGGTCTCTCCTCACCTTCCTAAACTGGCTGAAGGCTCTAGTGAAGCTTCAGGTGAAGCTCCCACTGGGTTCAAACGTGATTTCTTAGACTACCTTAAGTTCTACAAGAACTCCGCCTTGGAAAAGTGGATTGTCCTGCTTAAAACTCTGGACTTTTCTGAGGTAAACGTCTGCTTTGTCGCCTCAGTGCCTGGAACGCACAAAAACGAGGCGCGAAATCTCTGGGGGCTCCGTAGATTGGGCGCCATTTTGTCGGAACACGCGGAAACTCTTCCGGAAGCTTCCCAGTGGCCGGTTGTCGCCCAAGCTTCCAGTATTGGAAGCTTGGGGCCCAGTTATGACGCCTGGCTGACCCGCGAATTCATCCCCGCGATGGCGAGCTTGAAGACTGAGAACCGCGGACTGAGATCGGCGCCCAATTTCAGGTTCATTTTTCCCTCTTTGAAGAATTTCAGAGAGTCTTTTGACATGAAAGCGGGTTGCTGCTGTCTGCCCTACTCCAAAAAGACGCATGATAAGCAGCCCTGGTTGAACAAGTACTTGTACCAGTGGAAAGCGGGGAATAAACATCGCAACCGGGCCATTCCTCACTCAAAAACTTATATAAGATTGGCGCCAGATCTGAAGAAGGTACCCTGGGCTGTTGTTACCAGTGGGAATTTGAGCAAAGCTGCTTGGGGTTATGGTCAGAATTCAACGACTATTTTGAATTATGAAGCAGGAGTTGTTTTTTTGCCGAAGTTTTTGTTTAATGCCAAAACTATTCCTATTGGAGAGGAGGATGATAAGGGAAATCCGGCATTTCCGCTGCCTTATGATCTTCCTTTAACTCCTTATGCGGGGGATGATGGTCCTTTTGTCATGGAGTTTTTTAATGATGTTTAAACTTTTTTTTGATCCTTTGAGAAAGTTTTTGTTTTTATTAATTTCATAAGTTATTTATAGCTGGATTTTTTTTCTGATGTATTTGATTGATGTAAGACTGTCAAATAAGTTTAAATTGAAATAAAAGTATTTTTTAATTATATCTTTATTTTATTGCGTAATTATTTTTTATAAAATAAGTTAATAGGTTAATTTATGATTTTACATATTTTTTATGACCTTTTATGATCTTAGTATGACATCTATACGGCTTTTTTGAAACACTAATTTAATAAAGCGTTCTACTCTACTGATAAATTTATCTAGCTTAACAATCGGTATAAAAGGAAATTTTACTTCCAATAAAAATAATTTTTTCTTACACTATGTTCAATACTATTATACGTATTTGTACGATGTAAAATTAATTAATTATAACTAATTAATTAATTATGTAAAATGTAAAATTATCTAACTGAAGATATTGAAAGTCTGGTCCTGAATTATGATCTGACAATTTGTAATTATTTCAACAATTTTTTTTCGGGTACTTTTAATTGATACAAATCATTGAATAGCAATTTTTGTACTACAATTTTGGTAATAATATTATAAATTTAAATAATATAAATTTAAAAAATGTAAATTTAAATAAGGATGACAATAAATACAACTTCCGTGTAGTCGTACATACATTTTAATTGTAATTGTAAAAAAATACTCTAAAAGTCAAGCATCTACTACCTGATTTGTTTTTATAATTCGCACAGCAGAATAAGCGAATAAATTTTATAAGCACATAACACATTACATTGCGGTGAAATCAAAATCGTTTTTATTTTCATTTCGCAATAAACTGTTACTTATTGTCTTCACTACATTGTTTAATTGTTGTTAAATTGTCATTGCTTGAAGCATGTCAAGTTCAACCTTAGAATTTGCTTAGTCTTCTTAATTTATTATATATTTTTTTAGCCAGCTTTCTTTTTCTAGTTACAAACTTTAATTTATCGCCATCGTTAATCAGACCTTCTCTCGTAAAGCTTCTAAAACGGGTTTCAGTTTTTAGCATGAATAAATTAATTGAGTGGAATTTTTTGAATTAAATCAGCCAGACGGAACTGCAAAAATAAACTCCTTTGTCAATATAAGCTTTTTTTTATAGATGCGCGGTAATGAATACTGATGTCGCTTGATAATGAATTTATTATTTATGAACGTCAATAATAATAATAAAAAAAAATAATAACATAATAATACATTAATAATTTTTAATAATCAAATTTATTATTTTAATGTGTATAATAAAAAATTTTCACAAGGAATTTTTTGTTTTTTCCTAATAGAATAAAAAAAATGCAAACATTTCAGGACCTTTTTTGTAGAAGATTAAATTTCTTACAAAAAATATGGAGTCATTTTTTTTGTATCTTTAATTCTTAACCCAGATTTTGAAGTTTCAAGTTTTGGAAGTAATATTTTTATTTGAACATGACGTTTATTGAAAATTTTTTCTTATTAAACTTTGTTTTTTTATCTCAAGGATAAGAGATATAAAAAGTATTAATAAGGATATTATTAGTAGAAAATTTAACTTCCGACAAAAAAGGTTTTTTATCATTTTTTTTTTTATATCAATTTTTAACCCAAAATTTGAAGTTTAAATTTTAGAAAATATTTTTTAGTTAAAAATATAAAAAATTTTTTTAAAGTATTATTATTATTATTATTATTATAATATAAAGTATCAAATTTTTAAAATTCAATAATAATAATAATAATAATAATAACAAAAATACAAAAATTTAATTTAAAAACTTTTAATTTGATTAAAAAAATTTTTTTAACTTTGAAATAAATTTTAATTATTTTACACACTTAAAAATTAATTTTAATTCACCACCAAACAAACTGAATTCCTCTTAAAGCATCAAATAAAAATAAAAAAATTAAAAGATGAGACATTAGTCACAGAAAGTAGGACGCGATTTAAATATTTGATCGATTCTAGGGAAAATCCGACATAAAATATCCTGAACAGGAGTGAGATCACGAGAATTGACGTCAACCCCTCATCTAGTTCCCCTTCTAGGATCAGCACCCTTCTTGAATTGCGCAAGCCCAGTCATCTCCTCAACCTCGCGGGCTGACACTGATAACACCCTGATATAACTCAGACAATACTAGACCAGAGAACGGAAAGTGACAGACTAGACGCTTATTTTATAACATCAAACTTTATTAGATTGCAGTACACACTCATACTCTACTACTTACAATAATAATAATAATAATAATAATACTCATACTATTGGCTCGGACTGCAGAGTAGAGACCCGTAGACCTGTAGACCTTCATCAGACATGTCGTCAGGCATAACTTGTTTGGACTTCGGCGAGTTCACATCGTCCTGCGAGTTCCACTCCCATAATTATCCGCGATTTTAAATTTTCCGCTATAAATATCGCGTATTTTGGTGTGTCGAAGTGGAAAAACCAAAAATGTGTGTGACCGGTTTTTGATTAATACTACTTCATTTTTTAATTAAATTAAAATTAATTTTTTTGAGTTAGTATTACGGAAGATTTTCACGGTAATTAATTTTCTTAAAATTCGGGTCAATAAATCGACCGAAAATTGACGGATGATAAGTTCCGTGTTTACTTTTGCGTACAAAGTAATACAAAAAATCGAATTGTTTATGATCGACAAGTGGTAGCCCGACGCAATGATTGGTACGTGCTCTCATACTCAGTGAATTTGTTGCTCAGTTACTTTCACTATCGTGTAAGGAATTTAGAACGAGAATTTACTTGGATTTGTGTAAGCTCGAAATTTGCGGCACTTTAGACGTCACCCGTTGACTTGAGTTCTTTAATTGACAACTGAAAAAATTTTTTTATTATTTTTTCTACAATCATTTGTTATAATAACAAAAAAAATGTTCTAAATTTTAATTGATAATTTTACTGTCATTATTTTAAGAGATAAATTGTGATAAAAATTATTTTTACACAACATTTGTAAAGACTCGTTCATTTTTTTAACTTTACATTGTTTGCTTGTTAAAAAAAATACTTACAAAATTTTCTACAGACATTTTTTGTAATTTTTAATAGTATAAAATATCGAAAAATTTCAATTTTTTAATTTTCTTTTATAATTATTTTACTTTATGACAAATTTATAATAATAGTAATCATTAAAAATTTGTAAAAATAAATTTTATAATTAATTTTAGAGATTTTTATTTTAATAAAAAATTTTTATATCTAAAAATAAATATTTTTTTTATAAATATAAATATCTTATTTTTACATCATTCAAATAAATTTTTTGTTTAAAAATTAATTAAATAATTTATTAAAAAAATTTTTTTTAATTATTTTCTTAAAATAGAAAATTAATTAAAATTTTTGCAAATAAAAAATGAATTATTATTCATATAAAAGTTATTATTTTATTTTTTCTCGAATGAAAAAAAATGTAATTAAAACTTCAACAATATAAACTTTTAATTAATAATTATCTTACTAAAAAAAAAAAAAAAAAATAAATTAAATTAATTATACTAGTATTGATTTATTTTATTTCAGTGTTGGTAAACAGTGTCTGCTGAAGAAAAATTGACGAAAGCTTGACAGGATGCCGGCATCTCCAGGCGGTGTTATTTTCGGAATAATAATAATAATAACAAGATACTGTTGCCGCGAATCGATATCTATGCCACGCACAGACTCACCCGCTTAACTGAGACGCTAGATGTTTAATTGCGGTCACATCATCATCATACATCATTAAACAGCGCAGTACCACTGATATATGTATATTAAAAAGTATTCTGCCGCATCTGGGTATTTTATTCTAAATATAAAAGTTATTTCTAAGGAAAAAAGAGGATAAATATAGAAAAAAGCGCCTGTGAAAAGAGGCGATGAAGAGATTTTAATTGAAAGCGGAATAATTAATAAACAAATAAAAATGATAGCCTGCTGGGTACTCGCCGGTGTATTTGGTACAGGGGTACTTCTGTATGCCCTCATAGAGGTGCACTACTTTCTGAGGATGTTTTTAACTGTTTTACTGGCGAGGTTTTGCAAAAAACCGGTGCACATTTTAGACGAGACTACTGTTTATGGTAAGGATCATTTTATTTTGTTCTTAGATGGTTTTATTGTCGCGTTTGTTGGCTTCTTGTCTAATATTGTGTACAGCGATTATTTAATACCTTGCAGAAAAATTGCAAAATAAAATTCATCGATTTTAAGCCATTAAATCTCTCCAGAATAAATTTTACTCCAAAAAGGATTTTATTTATAAAAAAAACTCTCTAAAAGGAATTTTTTATTTATTTAATAAATAAAAATAAAAAATTAAGAGATATTTAAATTAATTAGAACCTTTTTACTTAATTTTATACATTAAAAAAATTTTAATAATTGAAAAAAATTGCATTGATATTTTTTAAAAATATTTTTTCATAAATCATAGAAATCATAGAAATTGCGATATGTTAGTTAATGTCAGTAATATTAAAGTAATTAATTTCATTAATTCAAACATCGTAATGTTAAGAATTTATTTATTATAATTTATTAACAAGACTTGAAAATAATCTTTGTAAAAATTTAATTCAATTTTTTAAGTTAAATTTTTGAAAAAATATTATTAATAATTACAAAATTAAATTTTAGATGAATTGTTTGATTTTTTTAATTAGTAATTTATCATATAAAATTTGTTTTAGCTAGATAAAAGAATTATTAAAGAGTAAAAGGGCTAAAAAAAACTTCTAGACTTACTGAAAATTCACTCCTAATTTTTTACAGAGTATTTTTTAAAATCTGTTAAATTAAATGTATACAAGAATCCTTACAACTTTAAGTATAAGTCGGTAGCCTTGACCCTAACGGGGAAGTGATGAAAGTATTATTGCGATCAATATAATTACACGCAAGTCTTTGATAAATAATTATAAATTACATAAACATAAGGATTAAATGGATGTGTTATTTTTATTATTTATTACCGGCTCGCCACTGAGGACGCTATTAAAGATATTGCGAAATAGTTATTCCGTGGAAAAATTTTTAATTTGGAAAATTGACTTCATATTAACGGAAAAACATCATAATTATAAAATATAATTTTTTCTCGCAAAAATTCCAATAATTTTTTCAAATTATTTATCAATTTTCTAAAAATAATTAGCAATTACAACAATTGATTTTTCAATTTGATTTTTCAAATTGATTTTTCAATATTTAATATATACTTCCTCTAATCTTAATCAAAATTATATAATAATAATTATTATGATTGATGTTTGTATTAAAAAAAAAATTACTCAATTGAAACAATAAATTCTTTAGATATTCGTCAATGTAAATGTCAATCGAACGTCCTCGATTAATTTTTTACATAATCTTTAATTGTTTCTTTTTTACAAACTACTTAATCAGCTTTTTAATTACTTGGGAATAAAGTGTATTATGATGAGAATTATAATAACAGCCTGTCAAAAATTTATAAGAGTAATTTATATTAAAACTAAAATTGTCTAATCGAAATTCTATTTCAAGTAGAGGTGAAAGTGAATTTTTTATTTTGGATTAGTTGCATTAGAAGTTAGAAGAAAGTTTTTTGTTTTGACACCTTGATTAGGGTACTAATTGTAGTTGTAAATGTAATTGTATGTATTTAAGCTATTAAATATACAGAAAGAATTAAATTACATAATTTACAATTCAAAATTTTTCCAATGTTAAAACAATTAGTTTCATAATTTTGTAATCAATTTTAACAATCATTTAATAGAACTTTCTATAATAAAGTATCTTAAAATTTTTTATTTTAATTCTAGTAATTATTATTGAGGATGATAACAATTACTATCAAGTGCAATGATTTTTTGTATGACATTTAAATCAGCTTAGATGATAACTATTATAGTTTGTGATGGTAGCTGTTACCATCTCTCAATTATTCCTATTATTAATATCTTTTTAGAGATTATAAAGTTTATAGTAAAATTAACAATTATAAATTTTAAATTTAATAAGAAAATTTTGATAAACAATATTTATATTAAATAATATTAATAATATAATATCGATAATGTTTATAAATATTTTTTAAAATAAAATTAGACAGCTGTTATTAATATCAATAGGGTAGAGTACCGTTTGTGGCCATTTATTGTTCAAATAAACGATAGAAATTAATTTATATTAATAAACCATTACAAACTCAGTTTATTTTAATATAAATTTTTTAAAACTCAACAAAAATATGGTTATAATATTATAATTTTTTATAAATTAATTCAAATGTTAACTGGCCAAAAATGGTACTTCAACCCTAATTGTAAAAAAAAATTATAGGGTTGGTAGATATTTTACTAGAGATTGTTTATTTAATAAATTTAGTTTTAATTTCTCGGCTGCCTAATTTCAAAACACAGTAACTAACATTTAAAAATTTTTTTCAATTTTTCTTATTAAAAAAAAGTTTGCCCGTCAAATTGATGACAAATTTGATTTATGAACAGAAAATACTTAAATATGAATATTTTTAAGAAAAATTCTTAAAATTAAGGTCTAAAAATTATAAAAAATGCAGCAATACTAAAGAAAAATCAGGTATAAAAATTTTGCAGTTACTGTGTTTTAAAATTGGGCAGCCGTTCTACACGGAAAAAACAAGATTATACTGGATATAATCCCAGATTATACAGAGTGAAAATTTTTTTCAGATAGTAGCTAGTATAATCCAGATAACAATGAGCGTAATCCAGATTACAATGAGTATAATCCAGATTACAATGAGTATAATCCAGATATTATCCAGTATAATCTGGATTATACTAGCTACCATCTGAAATTTTTTTTTCGCCTCAGATGTCACTGAGTATAATCTGAGATGGTATCCAGTGTCGTCTTGTTCTTTCCGTGTATCGAATTAAATTAAAAAATCTTTACAATAACTAGATGATTATTTTTACTGTTTAATTTTCTTCGTGCACTATTTAAGAAATTTATGAATATTTTACAAATCATTTATTGCTATATATATAGCTTAATAATTAAAAAAATTTTTCAGGACTCTGTACAACAACAGACTTAGACACTTTGCTCTATCACATGAACAATTCACGGTATTTACGAGAGTTGGATTTTGCTCGCGCGGATTTTTATGAGAGGACAAGTTTGTACCGCGAAATTTGCTCCCAAGGCAAAGGAGTAGTCCAAGGAGCTGCGACTATTCGCTACAGGAGATTTTTAAAGCCATTATCCTTATTTAAAATAAAATCCAAGGTTTGTTCTTTATTTTTTTATTGATTGTAAATTTTAAAATTTTTATTATTGTTATTTTTATTTAAATTATCTTAAAAGAAATCGATATTTTATGAATGAACCTCGCAAAAGCTTACATAAGTGTAAGATAAAAGGCAAATTGATAAACTAAATAAGTAAACAATAACCCAAGTTAAAAGTTAAACCAATGCGTCACTCTTTACCCGGAATAAAGAATAAGTTTATCGCGAAATAAATTTCTGTATACTTAAAATCCTGTGGAATGTTTCGACCTTGAGCCTACGGAAATCGACGATAACGTTTCTTTTTTATTTCAATGTTTATCTTTACTTTTTATTCGATACTTTTTTTAAAACCAATAATATGTTGACATCATTAGTTATTTTTTATAACTTATAAATGTCTTTAATTATAATGTTTCGTTTTATTCATACTTACAACTATACTCAAGGCTCAAATGTTTACACTCTTCCACTTTTAGACTAGTGTGAGTATGTGGGAAGTGTTTTGCAAAGTAACATTTATATTATTGATGAGCATGATTCGCTCATTATGATTCTTATCTGAGTAAGTTCTGATGCTTTATATTAATCCGAGTCCTTGATTCTTATTACGTAGACGATGCATTTTAATGTGAGGAGGGATCGCTCAATTTTAATATAAATCTTATTCTTTTTTTTTTTTTCCTAATAATTTATTGTCTAGTGACAGAACTTTAAACTTTGCAATGAGAAGTCACAAGTGACTCAGAAATATTTTATAGCTGATTATTATTATTATTACTTATATTACTTTGACTATTGTATCGATTGGTAATTAAAATTTCCTATTTTGTTATTTTAATTGAAGAAATTTTCCAATTGTCATTTTCCATTTAAAGATAATGATTATTACACAATGTTGTTATTCATTTAAAAGTGTCGAGTGGGCTATTTTTTATTCTTTCATTTTTTATTGAGTAATTATTAAGTCATTCGAAATATTTCACGATTAAAAATTATATCATAATCATAAAGAATATTGGAGCGTTTTTTTAAGTGACAAAATTTTTAATTAAAAAAAATATTTTTGTTTTTTTAAAATAAATTTTGCTTAATCAAATAATGACTTGTTAAATTGCACTGTACTTTTTTGAATATTGACATTTTTAAAGATATAAGCTCATCCCGATGTTACACTTATCAAGAGCTTTCATTTGAGTACCCACATGCATTTTTTATATATTTTTCATATATATACATATATAATATATAAAATATATAAAAAATTGATGTGGGTACTCAAATGAAAGGTCTCGAAGAGTATAATCTCAGGATGAGCTTATATCTTTAAAAATGTCAATAGTTAACAAGATAGCGATGTCAGTTCTTAATTATTGACATTTTTAAAGATATAAGCTCATCCCGATGTTACTCTCGTCAAGAGCTTTCATTTGAATACCCACATGCATTTTTGATATATTCTTTATATATACATATATATAATATATATAAATATATAAAATATATGAAAAATTGATGTGGGTACTCAAATGAAAGGTCTCGATGAGTGTAACATCGGGATGAGCTTATATCTTAAAAAATGTCAATAGTTCACAAGATAAAAGATTATTTCTTAATTATGTAACTAGATATAGTGCATTTTCTTTTATTTCATGTTTTTCCTAATTCAATACTCATTTAATAATTCATATATATTTTTTATAGATTATATACTGGGACGATAAATCGATATTTATGGAACACAAATTCGTAACATCTCATGATGATTTTGTCCGAGCGATAGCAATATGCCGGCAGCGATTATTGGACTGCAGTGCTGAAGCTGTTATGTCGACGCTGTTAGATCGCGGGGTCAAACAGAACGGAAGCGTCGAGGGTGGAGTCCCCCAAGTACTAAATTTCTACCTTTATCCGCACTTTACTCACAATCTTTATTGCGCCCTAGTCATTATCGTTATCATTATCATTATTATAACACAGCCACCTTCCCTCTATTTATAGAACAAGTATGATTAGATCGTATATCATCATAAATGGACTATATCGACAATCTATACCGAACATTATGGAGTTCCTTTTATTTCATGACCGCAATATGTCAATCCTGACATTAATTGCTTATTAAATGGTTATTAATTTTAATTAAAAAATTATTTCAACCCTGGAAAAATTTTATTACTATTTTAAATGATTAATCCTGAAAATTTTGAATTGTAAATCATACAATTTAATTTTATCTTTGGAAATATAATTTATAAAATAAATCACACCCCACATTTTCTTAGAAAAAAAAGATTGAGATCTGTCATTAATTTTCTAGTGAGTGGTATCGATTCGTATAAAATACATAAAGGGTATTTTACCCTCGCTGCTTACTAAAAGCTTTTTTCTAACGAAATGACAGCTCATTTTTTTTGTAATATTGTATAATGATAATGATGAAATATTAATGGTGTAATTTTTATTTCAGACACATGTAAGACCGGAAATGCCGCTAGAAGTAGCCAAATGGCTAGAGAGCAATGACATCTCTTCGGCAATTTTAAGAGGAACTGAGACCAGCTCTGTTGTCGCGGCAACTTAATTTAATAATTATATACATTGATAAATAATAAAATTATTTATTGACCGATCTCTCGCAAACGCGGTTTAATTATCAAACTTTACATATTAAATATTATATATTGATAATATTTTAATAAATGAATTGTAAATTATTTTTAATGTGAGACCGTTTAAAGAACGACCATTATTAATCTTGTGTAATTTTATTATGTACATATGGTTGTGTATTATATATTAAAGTACTTGTATGTTAAATTTTAATGATTATTTCCTTTATTTTTCTAATTAAATGTAAGTAAGGTCTTTGACTACCGTTAGCTGCAATTAATTTAACATCACACTGAAAACTTGGCTTCAAATTGCGGAAGTAGATTGACAGCAAGTTTTAGTTAAGGGTGTTATCTTACCGATAGTTGGTGAGGTTGAGACAAACTTGGACTATCAAGGATATACTAGCAATACTAGCATGAATGAATAAAATTCTGGTTTATTAAATAATGACTTTTGTTAAAATGCAATGTACTTTCTTAATTATTGACGTTTTTAAAGATATAAGCTCATTCTGATATTACAGTCATCAAGAGCTTTCATTTGAGTACCCACATGCATTTTTGATATATTTTTCTAAATAATATAATATATATATAAATATATGAAATATATGAAAAATTGATGTGGGTACTCAAATGAAAGGTCTTGATGAGTGTAACATTAGGATGAGCTTATATCTTTAACAATGTCAATAGTTCACAAGATACAAGGTAATTTATTGGAAACATCTATAAATAAATTATAGGTATATCTTCCATTAACTAACTCATTTAATAGAAAAAAAATAAATGTCAGCTCAGTTAAAGTTATTAAATAAAAAACCTCCGTTGAAATTTTTTTAAAATTAATTTATTGTTTTGTTTAATTTACAGAGAAAATTCCACCAATAAAATCAAGGCAATTTTTTTCTTGCCAAAAAAAAAATCATTTTTTATAACTTCAAACTTTAATTATTTTACTTATCATTATTATCATTATTACTTTATTGTAATAATAAAAATCAATACACATTATTTTTTTTTCCAAACAACCCAATGATTTATACAGCGTCGTCTGAGCATTTTATTTATTATTGTATTGAAAAGTATAAAAAAAAAATAATAATAAATAGATATTTAAAAACAAAGTTATGTGACACATTTATCTTTGTACTTTTAATCGTACATATAATATTTTTAAATAGTTTGTTACTTGGTATCTTTATTATTATTATTATTATTATTTGAAAGTCTTCGGCAATGGTAAACATAACGACAGCAAGTATTCAATAGATTTAAAGGATTAATTTATAAAAAGCAAAGCAATAAAATAAAAAATTCCAAAAACAATTTAATAAAAATTATTCTATTGATTACGCTGCCATTACGTAAAAATTCACTTGATTATTAATTAAAAATCTAGACTCTTCTTACGGCCATTCTTCATTTACATCATTTAAATATTATTAATTATTAATTATTACCAATATTAAATTAATATTATTATAATTATTATAATAGATTAAATAGCTTTTTAATTTATCAAACATTATGCAACTCACGCTAACAATTCCGCACACTCAAACGTCAACAAAAAAAATTATCAGATGAAATTGTTTAAATTAAATCCAACAATTCTTGTCAATAAATGCAATATTGTACACACTAGATCTCTGTTAAATTATTACAATATATTTTTAATTTTCAGTCGTTTAAATCATTTAGTTATTATTCAATCGTTCTTTAATATTATATTATTATTATCATTTTAAAAAAATTCAGCAACCCAGCAAGTAAGACTTTTAAATTTAAGTAGATTGTTAAAAATTTGAGAATCTGTCCAGAGACACAGTATTATTTTTGTTTTTTTTTTTTTTTTTTTTTTTTTTTTTTTATTTAGAATGTGTGCGCGTTACGACAAATTCCACAGCCAAGAGCAAATTCTTCTCCTGTTGGCGGATGTTTTACATGAAGTGGACATTCATCGCCTTCTAGTTGTTTCCCTCGTGGACCTGTTAATATTAATTACATTAATTTACAAATTAAAATCAAATTACTCAGTTTCTTAAACATACTTTCTTAAATATTGACGTTTTTAAAGATATAAGCTCATCCCGATGTTACACTCATCAAGACCTTTCATTTGAGTACCCACATCAATTTTTCATATATTTTTCATATATACATATATATAATATATATAAATATATAAAATATATGAAAAATTGATGTGGGTACCCAAATGAAAGGTCTCAATGAGTATAATCTCGGAGTGAGCTTATATCTTTAAAAATGTCAATAGTTGACNNTGTGAATTATTGACATTTTTAAAGATATAAGCTCATCTTGATGTTACACGCATCAAGAGCTTTCATTTGAGTACCCACATGCATTTTTGATATATTTTTCATATTTACATATATATAATATACATAAATATATAAAATATATGAAAAATTGATGTGGGTACTCAAATGAAAGCTCTTGATGAGTGTAACATCAGGATGAGCTTATATCATTAAAAATGTCAATAGTTTCAAGGGAAAAAAGAGAAAAATTTACCAGCTGGACAAGAAGGCAATTCGCTTTTGGAAATATTGGTAACCCGTTGGAAGTCGTCGTGGCATGGATTACAGAAATGTGTGGTTCCAAAGCAGAAGAAGACGGCCGTCGAACAGCAGTATCGACACTTGTACTCGAGGAAGTCAGCTCCATGCTTGGGACACATCTGAGCCCTTGCCACGTCGCTGCAACCCCCGCAAACCAATTCCGTGGGGTCGAAGGTTTCACCTCCTAGTTGAGCGTCGCAACGTGCTTCACCTCCATAGTAAGCCTTCTGACACTTGTAACACACGTAGTAAGCGTACCGGTCCATGGCATACGCTGCTGGGTCTTTGTGGTAACGTCCTCCAGGTGCAGTCACTGCTTCGGCCCTGAAAATTATACCATAAGCATTTTTTAGACATTTTAAATTTTAAATATTTAGACAATTTAAATAAAAAATTAATTTTCTTTACAAATTGTTTGCTAATTAATTTAAAAATTTACTTTATTAATATTCATCTTAGCTTCAGTATATATTTTTATACACATAAAATTAATTAAAAGAGGAATTAAAAGTTAAAATCGATAAGTTTAAATTTTTTCATCCCATAAAAAATTAATTAAACAAAAAACTTACTTATGCAGCCCTTCATATTCCAGCCGCATGAGCGCCTTTCTCTTAACATCTGTATAAAGTTCCTTGATACTGGTCAACTGGTCCACCAAGGTAGGATGTTCAATCGGAACTTTACAAATCGGGCAGAAAGAGAACCCAAAAGTGATCCTAGGTCCAACCCACCTCTTCATCAAAACATTCCGACAGCAGTGTAAATGAAAAACATGTCCACACTGCAATTGAATCGCCGGCGCACATGACAAAGCCTCCGTAAAACAAATCATGCACATGTCATCAGCATCCTGCTTCAGATCACTACTCGCCTGACAGCGATGCAAGCAAGGCAGGCAATTTTTCTCATTTCTGACCCCTCCACAAATGTGACCACACGAATGAATCTTACTACACGCATTCTTGGCATGCTCCTGACACTCATGATCCGAGCAGACGTTTCCAATAGCCAGGAGCCCTGAATTTCCCGTGGTTCCGCAAAAACGGCAGACCCCGGAAGTTCCGACAGGCTTCCTTGGCGTTCCATCGCGGAATTCCACCAGAGCTTTCAGCGTCCTACTATCAGCAAGCGCAAGAATCCAAAAGAGCTTAGTTCTTCCGCACCCTTCATGAAGATCCACCCTAATAGCTTCCTCCTCTTCTTTGCAAACCTGCCTAATATGCATCCTAGTCCGTCGATGCAAATGCAGAACGCGATCACAGTCTGCGCACAAGTTACCGCAAACATTGCACTGGATTATCGCGGTGGTTTCCTCATCGTCGTGGTTGCTGCAAGTGGGACGAGGCGGTGGCGGTTGTCCGTCCAAGCTTGCATTCCACTGCCCCGAGGACAGACGCTCGACGTGGTCAGAATCCAATACACACAGCGAAGACAGCGCCAACCACAGTGTGGGCGTATGCAGACACTCATTAGGCTCACGACGTTTCTCGTCCAACCTTGTTAAGTTCAATATATTCTCCGCAATCGCAGCTTTCGTCACCGCTGCCCAAGTGTCTGATAACTTCCCCGTCGCCATGTCTTTCAGCAGCTGGATGATAACTTCTGCGAGCTTCCGCGTCATGCACCCCCTTAACCACCATCTAGAACCAACGTAGCTCTTCGGGTGGATGCTAGTCGCCAGAGAAACTGTCTGCAGTGCCTTGCCGTTGTTCTCCTTCCCTTTGATCTTCACCTGGACCGCCAAGGTCTTGGCAATGCAGCTCAGAAACACATCCAGAATTCCCGCGGCGTGCTCGTCGAAGTTAGAAGCGCTTGCGCTTCCGCTATTTGTAACTGAAACTATGCTAAAGTCCGACGGAGGCAGCCGCTCGACTCCTAATACATTAGCAAAATGCTCCGGTTTTATTTCGGGTAGAATTCTGCGCAGTAAGGAGGTTACTTGCCGTTGAACGCGCGCTGACCCGGTGTGAAGGAGGCTTAATATGTCCTTTATTAAACCGTATTGGTGCGAAAGATAGTTTCTGCCCACTGCGCTGCCACTTAATGCAAGAACCATTGATAACATTTCGAAGCAGTAAGTGTCAGAAGCTTTAGGAACGTCGCTTGATTCGCTGAGAATACTGTTTGCTGGAGTGGGTGAGCAAAGAAGCAGCTCCCATTCTTCACGCAATCTAATAGTTTCTTTTCTTATTGCTTGGACAATATGGCTGCAAACTTGCTTTTGCAAATGAGTCAATTTACTGCGGGAGAATAAGATTCCTACCATATGCTCACGAAGGTCATTGCTCTCCTCTAATTCATCATTACCTTCTGACTCTTGCTGCTGCCGTCTTTGCGGCATCATTTCCCCCTGAATGAGCTTTCCAAACACTTGAGAAGTGATCAGCCGGAATACTTTTAGAGTCTCAGCTTCGCAATTACGCTGTTGAATTGTCTGAGTGCTCAATTGCTTGCCAATTTTTAAAGGCTCGCCTTCAGTTTCTCCTAACACGCGAATCTGCCTGACTCTAAGCGAATTATCAGGACCTTTGAACTCTAGACCAATGATAATGTGTCTTGGATCGGTAATAGGACAGCTGACCCACCCAGCAGACCTGCTTTCAATCTCTACTGTCTTCAACTTAATCATTTCGTCGACATTAACCCCAGATTGGAAAGTAACACTGGAAACTTTGTGGGTCAGATCGCGGCAGTTGTCAATGTGAATGTAAACCATCCTCGGGAATGTATGAGCGCTGCAAATAATACTGATAGTCTTGGTCTTGTTTCTATCTTCATCCCCAGACTCCCAGAATGTCTCAGTAGAGTTATCAATTAGGTGTCCTATCATCGCCTGCCTGCTGGAACCTTTTATTTCCACCCCAGCAGTCAGATCCTTCAGCGCCTCCACCGACGCAGTTATCGGCTGAGAAACCGTAGACTGGTGGCTCTCATGCATGCTCATAGTCACATCTTCCTCCTCTTCTGACCGGGAAAGAATCTTGCTGATGTTACTGAAGACGTGGCTCCGGTGTAGAAACATGTGATCAGCAGCGGTGAATTTGATCCCCCAGCACTGAACGGCTGCCTGTTGAAGGGGCGAGCCGGGAGGAGGAAGCAACATCAGGTCAGAAATTGTCTGCAGCAAAGTGTGGAAGACACTAGGCAGCGGATTGATTGCTTCTCCAGCGATAGCCAGGTCGCTCAAAGGATGCTCGTAGACTCCCGTCATATCTAGATCTTCTTTACGCTCCACGTGGTTGTCTACTTCCACGTCTAAATCAGGAGTCGCGGGTGTCAGAAATGCCATGAACCACCACAATAGATCATGCAAGCCCATTGGCTGGGTAACGCTTCTTAGGAGCCAATTGAACGCTTGCATTGCGTAAATTCTGCAGGCAGATCTACGCAGCGCTTGTTTCATAGCAAGCTGCAAGTGTTGGAGGTTGTGCTGCTGCAAAACGAACAGCATAACTGGTCTTGTAAGCATTTCAACGCGATCTACGTTGGAAATTTCTTCCTGATTTACTGCAACAATTGCCGACTGGTCCATTGAAGGAACAAGCTTTTGCAAAGCTGCTGAAGGGTAGCAAAGCAACGACGAGCCAGCCTCGGTGTTCATTTCACTGCTGCTATTATTGCGCTTTCGCATCATAACAACGCGGCCGTCATTGCTGTTCCGAGCCCAAGGAGCGCCAGTTGACATTGAAACTGACCTGTGGAAGGCTCCAACGCCAGTTCCGCGTCTTGCGCCTTCACTATCGCTGTCGCTCATCGGACATTCAGATAAAGGACGTCCATTACTGCCGTAGTTGCAGCTGAAGTTATTGTAATTGCCCTCGTAATTTCCCTGACTATTTTGCCGACGCAGCGTTTCTTCATAATAACGTTCTTCATTCAGTGCGCTTGAGGAGTGATGGACACCCAGCGCCTGCAAGCACTGAAACGGTCCAGTAGGAGGAAACGGCCCCGCCGTAACTTCCGGAGGACTGTAATTCTCAGCTACTGAGGTCAAAGTTTGCGACGGCCTGCGTTGCTGCTTGGGAATTGTAACTCCTGCAGCGCTAGAAAGGTCCAATAGAAACATCGCGTTGTTCTTCATCACGATATGCGCGTCATTGCTACTGGGGCTGTTTATAGGTGACAAAAATGTCTTGATACCCTTGCGCCTTGCCGTAGCGGGTAAACTAGGTCCATTGAGGAGTTTTTTATTTCCCATTTTGTTCCTTCGTATTTGCAAATAATTATCGCGACACTCATCGCAAATTAAATACCAGCATGTACCGCCAAAATCACTATCTCCACAATTTCCCGCCCAGCCCGAACAGTAATTACCTACATTATTGTACCCCATACCACCAGAATGCCACCCACAACCTGGATGCATTGTCTTCATGTGGTAAGTTATCGGATGAGGGAACATTTGTCCGCAAAGCTCGCAAGTTGTTTCCAATTCTCCGGTATTTTCTCCCGCAAAAAATCCAAATTTGTTCATTATTTTGTTCAAATCTTTCTTTTTTTTCGTTACTTTTTTATCCTTATCCTTATTAACACTACCAATATTTACACTAGACATTTTATCATCTTTATTTTCCTTATTATCCCTATCCTTGTCTTTATCAGCAGACTTTTTAGGCGTTTTGAGCAGAAAATGCGAAATAGGACTCGGAAACATAGTTTGTTCTTCAATAGCCTGAATGCAATTGCCACTGAGTTCTTCCCAGAGAAACACGAGGCTCTTTAAAGCCGGGGGAAGAACAGCAACTGTGTGAGTTTCAGGCAAAGCCATAAGCTTGTTGCTTGAAACTTCTTCTTTGATCGTCACAGAGGGGTCTGTTGCAATCACATCTTGCTTTTTGTTACGATTGCGATTTGCGTTTGCATTTGCAGCAGACCGGGTCAGTGCCTCGAGAGTGCTTGGCTGAATATGGAGGTAATTTCCCGCTGTGGTAACCTCAACAGAATGCCTTTGTCTCGCGCGTTGTTCTTTCGTAAGCTCGTCTTTGTTCTTATCCGTTTTATCATGAATAACTGGCTGTCGGGTGACTACCAAAGCTCCGTTTTTCGGCAAAGCCGGGTGGAATTTTAAGAAACTCGCGCAAGCCATTGCATCGTGAACAATTCCTTCGTGCCAGAGAAAAGCCGCGAAAACGGCACGAAGACACTCGGCTACTGACGGACTCATCGCTTCTTTGACCTTGTCTTTGTTCAGATTCAACATTCGCGCGGTGCTGGGTGACGATTGTTGGGACTGAATGTTCGCCGGAGATATCGCGCGTTTCGTTCGGGTTTTTGCGATCTTCATATGGCTCCGGCGGGTAACTTTAGGAGAGTGTCGGTCGTCTTTTCCCGAAGCTCCGATGCTAAAGTGGCTCTTTATCATCGCGTTCTCAGGACTGGTTTGGGTTTGAGCTTGAGATACTTTCTTCTCGTTTGCATTTTGATTTTGGTATTGGTTCTGGTGGTGGTGGGGGGTCTGAGGAACCGGTTCCTGAATTGGGGGCGGTTCCTTGCGCGGCGTATCCGGGGGACTCGCGATACTGCCCTCTGAGCGCATTTGGAGGGAACTACAGCTGGGACTGGGAGAACTATCGCGGGTATTTGCTGCGCTGCTTATTCCGCTAGGTGACGCTGATGGATCACGTGTCAGGCTACTGACTAAGGCACTTGTGTCACTTTGGGTTGACCCTCGACGCTGGGACGCTCCGCTGTCCAACATTCCGCCTGATACTTTGAAACAGAAAAATTGAAATGATTTTTTTTTTGACGCGATTTTTTTGGACGGATAAAAATTACATCTGGATATTTTTTTTATTAAATTTTAAATCGTTTTTATAGACTTTGTCTATCGGCTTGTTTAGTTAGTTCGTAGTTTTTTTTTTTTTTTTTATTGCGTATTGACCGAAATAAAATTCATCTGCAAATATAAATTGAACGAGACGTTTTTTTTTAATAATAAAAAAAATTATTTATATACTTGTAAAATTTTATTTTAATTAGAATGAGAATGAATGCCAAAAACTATTTGGAAAATAAATTCTACTCGAGCTGATTTTAAAAGAATACTTTACATGTTTAAAAAAAATAATACTTCGATAAACCCCTGGAGGATTTCATCGGTTTTAAAGTCAGCGTTCTTTTAAGTGAAAGTTGAAAGGAAGGAGATATAAAAGATTGATTATCAAAATAAAAGTATTGGCATCTCGGATAAAGTATATATATAAAAAGAAATGTTAAGTATAAGGTCCTTGTGAGGCATCAAATTCCTTTATAATGGTCATTTAAATTTAATCGATTGTAGAAATCTTAACAGCTGCAAAATTATATGTAAATTTACAAAATATTCATTTTAAATTGGTTATTTTACATAATTTATTAATAAGCAATGATATATTATAAAAATTTGTAGAATTATAATCTTATAATTTGAAAATTTTACAATAGATGGTAATTATTGCACTTTTAATATTAATCATAATACTATCAAAAAAATTTTAATCGATAAAAGTTCTTTGGTATAATAAATCTGCGTAACTTTAAAAATCTTATGAATAGAAAAAGTTGATAAGAAAAAACATTTATTCGATAACTTTATTCACTAGTTTTTACTTTTTATTTATAATTTCAATGAGTTATTTAAGTAATTTACTCTTTATAAACTTTTTAACAACAAATCTATAACTTTTCTCCGATATCGTCGTTTTATTTCATTCAAATCGATCTTAGTAAAGAAAAATGTCATAAAATTTTGCTTTATTAAATAATGACTTTTGTTAAATAGCATTGTACTTTTTTAATTATTGACGTTTTTAAAGATATAAGCTCATTCTGATGTTACACTTATCAAGAGCTTTCATTTGAGTATCCACATGCATTTTCATATATTTTTCATGTATACATATATATATTATATAAATATATGAAAAATGATGTTAGTACTCAAATGAAAGGTCTCGATGAGTGTAACGTCGGGATGATCTTATATCTTTAAAAATGTCAATAGTTCACAAGATACATGGTCATTTCTTAGTTATGCATCTTATCATATAACTATCTTGGACATAAAATTTTTCTTATTCTTTTAAGAATATAGATGTATCATTTTTTATCAAATACGCTCAAAAAAATTTTTATTTCTAACAAGAATAAAAATTGTTTACTTATACAAACTTTTGTTCAACGAACTAACTTTTAAAGCTGATAAACTCTTTTAAAATGATAACACACGAATAAACATGCATTAATAATACAAAAAATGATCAAGAATAATAATAATAAAAAGCAGTAGAAAGAAATAGCACCCTCAAAGCATATCGCGCTTTGGATGTGCGATACTTTGATACAAATCCGTGGAAAAAAGTTTTATAAATTAAATACAAATGAATAAATATTGAAAGACAATATCTCTTTGAATTTCCCATCGGTATTTTATTTATTTAAATAATATTTTCGGACTGGTAAATATTTTTTACACTAAAAAAAGACTTTTATCATGCGGATTACACGAAAGTTAACTACAGGTATATGATATATATGGAATAATAACAATAACAGTACAAACAGAGAGAGAGAGAGAGAGAGAGAGAGAGTGTAGACAATATATATGTATTGTATATTGTACAAGTAAAGCATGGACACGTATAACGTAGAACGTAATTATTGGAGTCTAAATAATGCAATTGGTACATTGGATTTAACAAGAGGAACCACTCTACATAATACCGTGATGATGTTGTCATGTTTATGTGGATATATATAACTAACTCTGTACTGGGTTAAGTTTGTTCGCTACATGTTACACGATACTGTATATATACTGATAACATAGTGATAGTGATAGTATTGGTATTAGTTTAATGTTAGTGATCTTACCTAAAGGGGAGAGCCCGACACTTCGGGGGGAGCCGTAGTGCAAGGGGCTGCTACCAGCACTCCCTCCCGCTTCAATCAAACTTCTCCCACCTAGTAAGTTGTTAATTAATTTTCAGTGTTGATAAGTGTCATGATCATGAACGTTCATAAGCACTATTTTAGATTATGTATGCAATATTATATTAGTATTAATTACGTATCAGGAAATTCGATTACCTAAGTTATTATCCCAAGACAAAATATCTCTCACGGTTAATTGGATCATCGTAATCTATTATTATAATTATCCAATTCTAAATTTGTTGTCTATGCTAATAAACTTCGTGATGTTGATTAGTGATTATTTATTGTTGGGTAGATTTAATTATTTTTGAATAATTAATAATTTATTAGTGATTCATGATACAGGTATGTCGGACAGATGAATTTAACAAACGATTTTTTGTTGGTCTTTTTAATTATTGTACGCTAATGAATAAAAATAGCTTGATTCAAGAGAATAGAGCTCAGTTTAAATTTAAAAAATTTTTTTAAGGAATAGATTATCTTGAATTAAGTATTTAAAGTCTTATACTAAAAAATTTTTATTGATTTAAATGAATTTTCTCAGTTTAATTAAATAATGACTTTTGTTAAATTGAACTGTACCTTTTTAAATATTGACGTTTTTAAAAATATAAGCTCATCCTGGTGTTACACTCATCAAGAGCTTTCATTTGAGTACCCACGTGCATTTTTGATATATTTTTCATATATACATATATATATAATATACATAAATATATGAAATATATGAAAAATTGATGTGGGTATTCAAATGAAAGGTTATGATGAGCGTAATGTCGGGGTGAGCTTATATTTTTAAAAATGTCATTAGTTCTCAAGATACAAGGTCATTACTTAATAATGACTTTTGTTAAATTGCACTGTACTTTATTAAATATTGACGTACTTAAAGATATAAGCTCATTCTTATGTTACATTCATTAAGAGTTTTTATTTGAGCAACCACATCAATTTTTCATATATTTTATATATTTATATATATTATATATATGTATATATGAAAAATATATCAAAAATGCATGTGCTGGGTACTCAAATGAAAGGTCTCGATGAGTATAATATCGGGCTGAGCTTATATTTTTAAAAATGCCGATAGTTCACAAGATACAACGCCATTTTCAATTTAAATTTAAACTTTTTATAATAGTTAGTAAAAATAATTTTTTATTAAAAAATTTAATAACACGATTTTTAAAATCAAAAATACCAACATAAATTGCTTTCAATCTAAAATAATGAATAAATTCTTACCTTCTATATTTTATTTAATTTCCGTAAAATATTTGACACATTTAATATTTATCAATTAAAACCATACCAAGTTAATATTTAATAAAAACAATATTTCGTTATTAAAAATTGTTTTAAAATTCTCATTTTTTTTAAATATTGTAAAATTTTATTGAGGATATTTTGTCTGAGGATAAAAAATTACCCTAATTAACGTGTAAAAATGATCATCAATGATTTTGAAAGTACCTAATGAATAATGAAATTTCTACTCAAAGGACTTGAACCTTAAATCAGGATTTTGTCTCACAAAAAAAAACCGAAACTCAAACTAAAATAAAAAACAAAAGTAGTGATAATTATTATTTTATTTTTGTTGTCAAAAAGCAAATCAAGTACCTGGAGCATTAGCGACAGGAGGAATGAGACAATTGCCAGAACCAGCAGGCTGACGACTGGGTCCAGCTAATTATAAAATCAACATTTTAACTTGTTTTTAAATAACAAAAAGCTACACTTTTTCGTTAATAATAAATCTAGTACTAATATTATGGATAGTTCAATTAGTAATAAGTGGTAATAATTAATAAAATAAAAAACCAAGCAGCCAAAAATATATAGATTGTACATACCAGGTATCGCAACTGGACTAGAAGACCTGCTGTGCAATCTCGGAGACCCACCTTGAGGGTTTTTAGGCGATGAACTTCTTGATAACCTTCGCGGGGTTTCTGGCGGGGTTGCACCGTTACCATTAGCGCGACTTTCGCCCATTGCTTTTACCAATTCTTTTACCGATACGCCGACAAATTCAGAAAAATCTCTGTAATTTTTTTAACATATATTTATTTTAGTCATTTATAAACTTATTATATTAAATTACAGAGATTACAAAGGCGTATGATGAAAATAAAAAGAATCATTTGATTTAAAAAAAAAAAATCTATTTTTTTTTTCATAAAAGAAATGACCTTGTATCTTGTGAAATATTGACATTTTTAAAGATATAAGCTCATCCCGACATTACACTCATCAAGACCTTTCATTTGAGTACCCACATCAATTTTCCATATATTTCATATACTTATATATATTATATATATAAATATGAAAAATATATAAAAAATGCACGTGGGTACTCAAATGTAAGCTCTTGATGAGTGTAACATCAGAATGAGCTTATATCTTTAAAAACGTCAATATTTAAAAAAGTACAGTACAATTTAACAAAAGTCATTATTAAGAAATGACCTTGTATCTTGATAACTATTGACATTCTCAAAGATATAAGCTCATCCCGATGTTACACTCATCGAGACCTTTCATTTGAGTACCCACATCAATTTTTCATATATTTATATATATTAATATATATGTATATATGAAAAATATATCAAAAATGCATGTGGGTACTCAAATGAAAGCTCTTAATGAGTGTAACATCGGGATGAGCTTATATTTTGAAAAATGTCAGTATTTAAAAAAGTACAGTGCAATTTAACAAAATTCATTATTTAATAAAGTCAAATTTTAATGATTGTACAGTAACATTAAATTATTTAACATTTTCTCATAAATTGTGAATAAATTAAGAATGTGACTGTTCAAAAAGCATTTAAAAATTTTAATACGCCCTTACAGTGTCTGTATGCTATTATTAATATCTATAAAAAATTCTTTACCTTCCAGAACTTCTCCTGTCCCCTTTATCGTCACCCCTGAGCCATTTCTGCAATGCACTAAACTTACCGCTGCCCTCGCGTTCCCTATCTTTAGCAACGCGCTCTTTCGAATGTACTTTGCTGTATTTCGGAGAAACGTCGTTTTTCTCTAAATTATATTTATCGCTCCCTAAAAAAAAAGAAAATGAAATTTATCAGACTTAGCGCATTGAATTTTTCACGAAAACAGGAATGCGGATGCGAAAAATAAAGTAAAAAATCACCTGGCGAGCTTTGGCTCCGAGATTTAAAGACAAATGGATTAATAGCTTCCCCGGGATCGCTGTTGCCAGCGATAGTGGCTGAAAAATTGGGCGTCGAGAATGCGAATCCGTCGTGACTGCCAGAAGGAATTGAAAAATCAAACCCTTTGTTTACCGGTGATTTTGTCGTACTTTCAACAGTAATTGGAGTACGTTTTTCCGGTGGCTCATTTTCACTGTCGTGTTTAGCTTTCATGTGTGTTGTTCCGTGCTTGTCAATAGCCAGCGACCAAGCCTCGCCGGGATTGAAGCAGAACTTTGAGGCTGAGTCTTCGTCAATGCGAATCCACGTTCCATCACCGTTCACCCACTTAATATTTATTGTCATTAATAATTAATAAGACTTACAAACTTATTTAAAAAAAAAAAAGCTTAATATTTTACTTACATATTCCTCAATATTAACCGAGTCTCCAAGAGCTAACATACCAACAGGAGCAGCTTTTAAACTTGGCCTACTTCTTATATTGTGTCCAGAAGCACCGGCTTTTGTAACAACCATTGTCCTTTCTCCGTTTATTGCCGTCCAGCCCCAATCGCTTATTCCAATATTCTTCCTTTTGCTTTAATAATTTATTTATTGTTTTATAATTATAAAAAAAAATTAGTAAATCCAAATTTACATGTCTTAAGCGTTCGTTTCATACCAAAATGATTTATATTAACGCTTATACAAAAAATTTTTTATTAAAAGCTTCGATATCACTTTCAAATTTTCAATTAAATGTTAATTAGAATAAAAATGATCTATTGTAAGTTGCACAATGAAAAATAATCAAGATTTTTAATTAAAAATTTTTTTTTAACTAATTTTTTACATCAAATCGTTCAGTAGTTAATTTTAAAATTTGTTTATCTTTTATTGAGTTGAAATTGATGAATTTTTATTTTTAGATGATACTAAAGCTTATCTTAGCGCTTCGCGCTTAAGGCATGTATCAGACAATAGAATGTTAGATTTTTATAAAGAAGTTTGATTTAAAAATAATACTAATTTTAACTCCAATTATAAAATTAACGAAAAAATTTCATCCGTGTTTCACAACGAGATTTTTTAATCTGACTATAAAATTTATTGTTTTTAAATGAAACATTATGTTGTTTATTTGAAATATTCTTACTCTTCTGAAGACTCTAAACGCTTTCGTAAAGACACTTCTTTACGAACTTGGTCGAGAATTGATTTTGGCTCGTCTATTGGTACTAAAAAACTTTTTCCTAAATGCTGATTGTAACCAAGACACCAGGCTTCTGTGTATCCTTTGCTACAGTAGTTTTTTATCGTCTCTGAATTTAAACGCAACCACACTCCATCGTCATTGTGAATCTGAATATTTATTAGTTAGTTATTTTTTATTCAGAAATTATTTTGTCAGAATTTTTAACAAAATTCTTTAACATATTATTTTTGATAATAGTATTTAAAAAATATTTAAATATCATAAATAAATAGTAATATTACTGACAATTGATCAAAAATCAATTTTTTCTCATTTTTTTCTTTTAAATAACAATAAACCAATAACCACGTAGTGTTTAACGATTATTGTCATTTTAAAGGTAATTTTTAAAAAATATTTTTCCGTGAATTAATAAAACATATACAACTTTACAATAAAAAAAAAAAAAGAACTTGAATCAAGAGAAATTTCTTAGTTTAAGAATTTTTTTACTCAAATCAAAAAGATAAAATTTTTTTTAATTATTTACTTAATTAAAGTAAATTTATTTTTCTATTTATAATAAACACAATCTATTAATACTAATATAGTTATAAAAGTATTAAAAATAATACCTCTTCTATAAATGTAATAGTATCGTTGATAGATATAATCCCAATTTGTTCGCTTTGCAAGGACGGATGTGCTCTTATTCTCAATCCTGCGCTATTTTTCATAACAAATTTTCTAAGTCTACTTGGTTGATGTTGAGGTTTCTTAACAATACTCTGTGAGGGTGGATGCATTCCCTGAGGTGGTTCTTTTATTTCTACTTTATAACTCTAAAATAAATTTCGATTATTAAACAAGAAAAAATAAATCTTATAATTGATCTATTAATCTTACATTTTCCATATTATATCCATCAATGGTGATCATAAGCGAGTACCAGCCAACCGAGGAAGGTGTCCAGGTTGCGCTGTAACTGCCATCACCATTAGGTCTGACTAGCATGCTCTCGCTCGAGCGTTTAACCGCGGGTGACATAAACCTCAGCTCTTCGAACGAGTAATTTTGGTAGGCCTTCATTATTGTTATCGCGTAAAAACACATTTTATTATTAACAGTTACTTCGTAGGGGATATCTAATGAGGGCTGTGGGTGCCCTCCGAATGTCATGGGGTCAGGTTGAGAAATACGACGAATTTTTCTCCCCTGGTCCGCATCAGTTATGTCTTTTTTATCTATTGGAACGGCTTTCACTTCAATCTAAAATGGATATAATATATATTTTATTTAATTATTTTCAATTAGTTATTAATTTGCGAGCCAATAAGGTATGAAGTGGTAGTAATTAAATATAATTGATCCCTCGGGAGGTGACTCACTGGAGGTTTTTAATCAACCTGAATAATCAATAAAATAATTGCTCTATAAATGAGAGAATTTATTCTATTTTTTTTATTGAGAGTTTCCTTTTTTGTTTATTTATTTAAAAGTACATTTTTAATTTAAAAAACTGGTTTGTTCGGGTTATTTTTTATCACCGGAAGCTGAGGGGTTGGTCAAAATTTGATGATTTTTTTTTTTGAACAAAGAAACTGCAAGCCTGGATTTGTAAATAGCAAGTGCAGACTCGCAAGTTTCATTAAGAATTATAACAATGAAACTGAAACGGGAGAGTATGAAGATACAGAAATTGCAAGTCTGCAATTAGTTATCAAAACTGATAAGTTATGGTTGAAGGATCATCTAATTATTCATTGAATTTCCGGAGTAATAAATGAAAAGTCTAAATCATGCAAAAAGTGAATTATATTGAAAATAAAAACATAATTAATTAGAAACTAATAGAAAATTATTTAACACTCATTTAAAAAATTTTGTTTGTTCTGAATTTTAAAGTAAATAAAATCCAAAAATCAGGCCATAATAATAATATAAATTAAATATTCCAGTAAAGTTTAAAGTTACGGATATCGATACTCAAAGTTCTAAACCAAAACTCGTATCAAGCTTCATCAACAAGCTGAAGATATAATATTAATATCAAAACATGATTTATATGCAAAAGTTTAAGAAGTAAAGTATGTAATAAATAAAATATTGAAAGCTTACACTAAAAAAAAATTAACTTGAATCAAGAAAAAAATTCTTGAATGAAATAAAATTTAAAACAGTAAATATATTAGTTTAACTTAAGAATTTTCCTGCTCAAATTAAGAAGATGGAATTTTTTTAAATTAACTTGATTACTAATTTTTTAATAATAATTAATTCATTTTTAAGTTAATAATTTTTTTTCCTGTGTATAAATTAAAATTATAAATTGCTGTGTAGAAATTAGTAAGTATAATATGATATTAACCTTTAAGCCAGGTACATGAACAACTTCTCCATACTGATCTCTCGTGAGAATAGTAACAATTGCAGGCCAACCACATTTCATATCTTCCTTGGCATAAATCGCTTCACATTTCGATGGATCCACAAAACTGTCAGGCTGGAGCCACCGTGCAAGCCTGCCACCGCTCGTTCCAGCCGAGCAAACAACAAAATCCCTGAGGAATAGTCTCTCATTTGAGTGACAACTGAAATCAAAAAATAAAACAGTATAAATATAAATATATCTATAATAAAGAAGCAGATTAATAAAAAATAACTTTGTAAAAATAATAAAGAAAGATCGGCTATCTTTTTATCGGATAATAGATAATTGTTAATGAGTTTTTACCGAGTCGACGACCCGATTGGTCAGATAGATCAGGTGTCTCCTGTCTATATAGTCTATAATCTATAAGTTATGAGCAAGAAGAAGATAGAATTGAAGAGTTCGTTAAAAACAAGTTCTCTTCAGGTTTCTGCCCCTAATTGGTACTCGTGCAGATCTCTCAGTGAACTGATGTCTGATGTACAGTAACTGGGCTCATAACTGTATGTGTGCTGCACATTGCTAGTGATATCATGTATAAAGAGAGCAAAGTATCATCTCTTGGTAACAAACAATCGCGAGTTGAGGTTTTCATCGTATCCAGCATTCCTAATAAGGCACAATCACGTCTAGTCAGCCATTTCCGGTTAAGAGAAAATTCTACGAACAGCTACAATATAATATACTCTTTTTATTTGTATTTATACACTTGATAATTGTTTTATTGCTCATTATTGTGATAAATATTTAGGTTAATTTAATTGATTATTATCATTTTTTTAAGTTCATTTCATTTATATAATGCACTTTTTTAAAAGAATTATTGTAATTAATTTTTATATCATAGGAAAAATTTTGACCTGAATTTTTCTGCCGTTTTATTTGATAAATAATTCACAATTTTCGGTAATCAGATAATGATTGTAGATTAATCGTTATAATTAATTAAATTTCAGTATCAAATATTTAAATAAAAATTAAAATACACCGTCTATTATTAGAAAAAATAATAAAGTATTTTACGGCGGAAATTGTAAGCGTATACACTTAAACGCTTCAGTATTTTTCTATCTTTGTAAACGGTAACAAGTTTATGTCAAAATTAACATAAACCGAGAGTAAAATGTAAAATACGATTCACAAGAATTTTTATGTTATTCTAACATACGTCTAAAAGAAATATCAGAGGCGTTAGTTTGAAATCACTTAAATTTATTTAAAATTTTTAAAAGAATTAAAAAAAATAACCTTTTTTAGAAAATTCCAATCTCTGCACATGAGCCAATTAAAGAATAAAGATATTTATAAAAAAATCCTATTCACAATTATTCCAGCACGCATGTAAAAAATACTTGAAATTTGGTATACACGCCCAACCGATTTGTGCAGCTTATGAAAAGGAAGCGGTACCCTTAATTGCGCAATTTTCAGTGCCGATGTAATGGAACTCAAAAAATACCTCGATCGATTCGTATTACCAATAAAATTCAACTCAAGTACCTTGTTATATCAACTGATTATTATCTATCTCAGAATCGTAATTACATATTGCATTAATATTTTCAGCACAAAAAATTCTAATTACAAAAAAATGGTATTTAAAATTCTAAGTATTTTTAATTCAACTATTTGAAATTTTATCAATTGAATTTTATAAAAATCAGTATAAAGTATATAGATCAATTGCATAAAAACCCGGAAAAAATTTTAAATAAATTGAAAGCAACACGCAACCTCTTTGATTACACAAAGAATCTAATATGATAATAATCAAAAAATTACGCAGTGATTTTATCGATTCAGTAACATACACTGGCAAGTTGGTCAAGGTTGACAACTGGTACTGGGTCCAGCTTGACAATCCGTTACATAAACCCAATACCTTCATCACTTATGATAGTGGTGCAAGACCACCTTATGTTACTCTTACTCATATTTATATTTTCATCGATACAACATTTATTGTACTAGTATAAGACAAAAAAAGTTAAACAATTACAAAATTTTCAGGCCCTGAAGCCTTAGCTCCCTAAGGACCTTACAAAATAAATACAAAAGAGATAAATAACATAATAATATCTAAATTAAAATCATTTATCATCTTTATCTATAAAAAAAAAATGTAACATTTAGATTGAAATTCATTGTAATAAATAATTGTGGCAATCTTCTCCGGTAACTAATCATAACACATTAAAAAAAAATTAATTTGATTTAAAAAAAGATTCTTGAACCTAGAATATAATTTTGAAGAGGATAATTGTCTTGAATCAAGACAAAAAATTCTTTAATCAAGTAAAATTTCCTTAAATCAAGAATTTTTCTACTCAAACTAATTAAAAAGTTCTTCAAAATTATCTTACTTGATTCAAGAACATTTTCTTTTGTGCATTGACCAATAAAAAATATATTTAAAAATATCCATCTATTTTTCGAAATTAAAAAATAAAAAGACGGAAACCAAGATATAATTTTTAAGATGAGTAGTGAGTATCCTTAATTTAATATTAAGAGTCAATTTTATATAAGAGGCTAAGAAGATGAGAAAAAATTTTCAACCAAGACGAAGAGGCAAAAACAGAAGCCGAAGAAGAAGAAGAAGAAGATGAACACGAAGTTGAAGAAGAAGAGGAGATAGACAAGACAAGTAAAGGTCTCTCTACACTTGCTTAGCCTCTTTATCTCAAGTTGTTCCTCTTCTTGTTCTTATTCCTTGGGAGTCCGACTGAAGCACAACATACAAGCGAGTAAAATGTAAGTGTAAGTATAAGTGTTCCCAACAAAACCGAACCGATGCCAGTATATACAGTAATAACTCCTCTACTATTATATACCAGAGACTATTTCTTCTTCTTCTTGCTTATACATTAGATCCTCGTCTCTTTTATCTCTTAAACGCTCTGGAGGGAGACTTTACGTTAAAGAAGGTGGGGGACCCTTGATCGTATGCCACTCTCGCCAGTTCGAAAGCAACCTTCGTTACTACCGCGTCCATTTAAAATTACAAAACTTTTTTTAACAGATATATTTTTTTCCACAACTCCATGTTGTGAATTCCCGACTCCATACGCGATATCTTAAACTCACTCGGGCTATTTGATAGTTTTTATCAAAAGCATTACAATGGATTCACCCGTGGATTTTTAAATTTATTTAAACCCAACCCGTGTTTATGTTTTTTGTTCCCACACACATCACAATGTATTTTTGAAACATGTGGTTGCATAAAATAAGAATGAAAAGTTTACTCAACTCCATTTTGTAGCTTTGTTAATTGTTTTATGTTTCATGTTGGTTTTGGAAATTATATATATTTTTTTTTAATTAATAATGAAGTTCCTTAAAGTGTTTGGTGTGAAATACGCCAGTGTTGTGAATTTATTTTTGGTGTTTGTGTTTGTAATAGTCTTAGGACAAGTTTATCATGCTAACGGAGAACCCGAAAAAGTTGGAATATGCGCTATGGCTGGATGCAATTGTACCATTGTTGCCAAACATTGGGTTAATGTTAAATGTATTTTTACAGATTATGAGGTGATTTTATTTTTTTTTTTTTCGTTTCTTTTATTAACAGCTATTACTAATACTAATATTTAAGAAGGGAGAGGGGCAAAGGTTAATCCAAACATTGTATATTAGGAAATATTCTTTATCTAAGTATAGTTATTTACTTTAAATTCATTTTTGAATTCTTTTCAAATACAATTTTTTTTTAAACAAAATTGTACCTTTTTTTTTACTTTTTAAAATTAATTATTGCGTTAAAAAATCAAAAACTGTTTAAATATCTGCTACAGATGGAATAATATATTTTAAATATATTTTTAAATATATTATATTATAAATATAATATATTTTAAAAATTTTTTTTGTAAATTAAAAAAATTTTTTTTTTTATGAAAACAACTTTCAACAATGTAATAATTTATTTTTAACTTATAAAACTAATTTTTTTTGTATTTTTCTGAAAAAATGAGCTTATTTATTATACCTCAGTTATTTTAATCAAAATTTTGTTTTTAATTGATTTATTTTCAATAAAAAAAATTAATTTTTGTCATATTAATAGTCAATTATTTGTCATATTTTTGTCAATAATTAAAAAAATGTTTTTAAAGAACAAAATAAAAAAATTATTTAAAAATTTGTAAACAAACTGTCTATTTTTATGATTGTGAATTTTTTCCATAATCTTTACAATAGTTCACTATAAAATTTTGCCTTTTTTTATTAAAATTTTCATTATTATTGCGGTTATCCCCACTGTTCGAGTTTATAGCTCCAATTCTTACCTTTATTTAATTTCAACTGAAATAAAATTTGTCACGATTTAAAATTTATAAAAATTAGGTCAATTTCAAACCAATAAATTATTAGTAAAGAAAAAATAGACCAATAAAACCATCAAGGGCTCAAAATGCGACTTACTTTCTTTACAAAATTTGTTATTACTGCGTCATAAATTTTTCCCATAAATCCACTCGATTAATGTTCGTCCAAATGCTCAAAAATTTCTTCTAAACTCAAAAATCTCCATTCATTAGTCAAAAAAAATTTTCTTTTATTTTTTGATTAACCCATTTAATTTATAAAAATAAAATAATTTATCCGATGTTTTCCTAAAAGATATTCACATGTTAATATGTATCATTGTGTACCACCAAGCCCCAGAGATACAAAAAGTAAAAAAGCGATAATAAATATCCCCGAAAACTCAAAACAGGTTCCGAGATGATTTACAGCAGGTATTTTTGAATAAAAACCTTTTTATTTCTTTACATCTTAACATCGCGTTTATATAAATAAATATAACTAATATAATTCTCTACTCTATTCGTTTGAAATATAGGATTAGTTTTACGGACAGAATAACAATTATTAATGATAGTACCAATGACGATGACGATGACGGAGACAATAAAAGAAAAAAATATTTTTTTTTTAAATTGAATGAAGAATATTCGGGAGTTAAAAATATAATTCAATTCATAAGACATGTATTTTTATTAAAGTACGAAGAGTGTGTAGTGTGTATGTAGAGATGCCAAGAATTCACAGTAAAGTTAAGTTGGTTGATATGAAGGGAGAACAGTTGTTACAACCCGTCCCACTTGATGCTCGATTCGCCTCGCTGGTTATCCAGCATTAATTTCAGAACTGAAAAATTATTTTAAAATTTCTTTCCCAGGGTTTTATTCTTAACTCTATTTATTGCGCTTTAATTAATTTAAAGCTATGATTAATGTGTTCAGTAATTATTTTAAATGATTCAACTTATTTCTATTTGTTCAATAAACTCTATCTGTCCAGAATTTTTCTTTATCTACTTAATGACTGCTTATCGCTTTGTCATACGCCGCACAGATGGTTTTTTTAATCTTTTGGTTACTTTTTTATTTTATTTTAATGCTTTTTCACATTATAGCCGTCAATTTTTTCAAGATAACTCAATAAGTAACGAGCATAATTATGACTAACTGTTTTTCGGTGAGAAAATTGTATTTTAATGGTATTTTCGGTGAAGGCTATTTGTGACTTTTGGACAATTGAAATTATGAGTGTTTAATAGATCATACTGTGAAAATAATTGGTTCCAGGTAGGGAGTTAATGTTTTAGTGTGTAATTACGTCAACTGGGTTGTTTTTTTTTCTAATTTTATTATTATTGTCATTGGTATCTTTTTTTTTCTACATTTCAGTATTAAAAAATTAATGTCTGAAAATTTTTTTCATTATTATTATAAAAAAGTTTTTAAAAAAATCTTAAGAAGAAATTTTTTTATGATTTTTTTAATTAAAAAAATTTTAAATAAAGAAATTTAAACCTTAAGTAATTTAAAAAATTTATTATTTGAAAGTTTTGACAGTTTAATGATAAAATAAAAATAGGTGTGAAAAATTTTGGGCTTTAAATTATTGACATAAATATTGAAGATACGAAAAAATAATAAGAATAATTTGTTGTATTTTAGATAAAATAATAATGTAATATAAACAATAAAATATTGAAAGAATTATAAAAAATTTATACATGCCTGGAATTTATGAAAAATAAGAAAAATTCTTTTGACATTATTGTATTAAAGTCTTCTGTCGAAAATGATATTTTTACAGATGTAACTTTAGTGAAAAACTTAAAATAAAAGTTACATAGAGATTTAAATAGTTCCGAATTTCTGAAGCTTAAAATTTATTTTTACTTTTTATCTTTCGCTAAAAAATATCTCTAGAATGTAGTGAATCGAATATAACAAAAAAAACTATCAAATATTTTGAAATTGTTATTTTTAAAAATGAAAATATTTTCATGAATTACGAAGTTATAAAAAATAAACACAGGTGTTTTAACAATTGATTCAGAAAGTAAATACTTGTTATTGTAATTTCTAATCTGATGAAATTAATATTCTTTATGCACTAGTAGTAAACAAAAAATGTATATTTTTATGTCAAAACAATTTTTTAAAAATTAGTAATTGTAATTTTTTAACTCTACTTAATTTATTTAATTTATTATTCAATACTTATAAAAGTTTGCAAAGCTTAGAAGATCTCGGGGCGAATTAAACTACCATAAAATTTCAGAATGTCTGGGACGGAATTAGATATTATTTTAAGACAAAAATTGTTTTATTGCAAAAGCAGTCTTTATTTTTGTGTCTATTTTTGCACCAAGTTCCTTTTCTACAAACTACAAAAATACAAGAATGAATAATTAATCAACCTTCAAACTAATCACCCTATAAATCAATAATTTTGACAAAAAAAACGTTTTGTAAGGCATAAAAATTATAAATTTAATTAAAAAACAAAATATTTTTAAATCATATCAACCATTGTCCTATCGGAGATTCGAACTCGCGCCTTGCCGCTCAAATATTACGTATT